TCGCGCATTAATCTATTTGTTGTTTATAACATATTTTTCTATCTGGACTTGTATTATCTTTCCTAGGTGATTGCATTTCTTCTTTATGTATGTCTACAAATGTTTTTATTCATTTATTTGTTTATTCATTCATTCATTCATTTGATCATTCATTCGTTCGTTCGTTCACTCATTCATTCAATTATTTGCTTTTCCATTCATCACTTCATTCATTCCTTCATTCATTCACCCATTAATTCACCCATTAATGCAATTGATTTGTTATATGTTTGGCAGTACACTAAATTGTCCATCCATCCTGCCAACATTTAATTTAAACGAAACGAAACGAACTTTATATATTCATTCAAATATTCATTTATTAGTTTATTTGATAATTTATTTATTCATTTATTCATTCATTCTCAACAAATCATTAAAATAGTTTATAACTGGGAAGGCATTTAAAATATCGACCTACTATTTACTGCTGTTCATTTTATGAGTCCGTGGTGGAGCCATTTCTTTCATTCATTCATTCATTAATTAATCTATTCATTCATTCATTCGTTCGTTCGTTCATTCAATCATTCGTTCGTTCGTTCATTCAATCATTCATTCATTCATTCATTCGTTCGTTCGTTCATTCAATCATTCATTCATTCGTTCGTTCGTTTGTCCTTTCGTTCGTTCCTTCGTTGGTTCATTCATTCATTCACTCATTCAATCTATCATTCATTCATTCATTCATTCTTTAACTCGTTCATTAATTCACTCGTTCATTCACTCCATCATTCATTCATTCATTCATTTACTATCTCCCTTAATTCAATCGCGCGCATGCGTTTTATATAATTTGATTCTCGTGAAATCGAAATTTGAGGAGGACCAAAAAAATAATAAGAAAAATAATAACAATGATAAAAAAATTATAACCGTTATAGATATAACAACAACAATAATAATAATATAAATATTAACAATAATAATAAAATAATGCCTAGTTAAATCTTTCGAGAAGATGGGATGATTTTGAAGTTTTGAAAGAATTCGAAAAAACCAACGACATATATGAAGTTTTTCAACTTTACGAGCAGATAAAAAGACAAGATACTCGCATACAAACACACATACACATACAAACACACACACACACACATACACACACATACACATACATACATGCATACAAACATGCATACAAACATGCATACAAACATGCATACAAACATGCATACATACAAACGTACATACAACAATGAACTCTCTCGAGTAAACTATAAGAGGGAATTGTATGAATTGATAAATGGCTGAATTGTCAAAATAAGAAAGAAGGGAGAAAATTTGAAAGAGACAGTAAGACAGTGAGAGAAAGAGAGAGAAAGGGAAAAAGAGAGAGAGAGAAAGAGAGAGAGAGGGAAAAAGAGAGAGAAAGAGAGAGAGAGAGTGAGACTCATTTAACTTCAACAAACATGTAGCAATTCGACAATCAAAATATATCCATAATGATATAAACAACGAATGAACGAACAAACGAGCAAACAAACGAACGAACGAATGAACGAATGAACGAACGAAAAACGAGCGAACGATGGAACGAACGACTGAATGTAAATGAAAAAAAGAAAAATGATGATGAATAACAGACCAAAGAAAATCTATGCTTGTATTTGGTCAAGAAATCCGAGCAATCGTTCATTCATTTGGTTTTCTATATCTGTCTCGAGCTAGTATTTATGAGTGTTATTATTTATAACAAGTTTATTATTAATAATAATAATTATTAATATAATTATTTGTATTATAATTATATATAAAATATTAATGTGACCATGAAACTTTTATATAGACCTAGAAATATATAGATGTGAATTCATTAATCTCCTTATTTTCTCCGATTATATACATACATAAATGCAAACACACAAACATACAAACACACAAACATACATACATACATACATACATACATACATACATACATACATACATACATACATACATACATACATACATACATACAATCCTCATAGGGGAGTACGTAACAGCCGGTCCTAAATAAGTGTCCCACAATAAAAGGGTTTAATATCACATTAATTTATCGTTGAGTTGGCTAGCGTTGTCAAGGCCGCAATGATAATAAAAAAAATAATAAAATAATAATAATAATATTAATATTATATAATAATACTAATACTAATAATAATAGCACTTTCATCTTGACCTAAAAGGGGAAGTTAATTTTAAAATTGAAATGAGTTTCTGATGAGAATACTCTTGAAGAGTTATTTCGCATCAGCAACAACCACTGTAACCACACAACAACCATAATGATGATAATAATAATGAAAATATTAATAATAATGATGATGATGATATTGATAATGATAATAATAATATTAATAATAACAACAATAACAATTTGATTTTGAACAACAGCAATGAGATCTGATGAAGATGTTGATTTTTTTTCTAAATTTTTGAAAAAAAAAAAATTAGCATTCAGACAGAATCCTGCCGT